ATCCTGATGAAACTGTTCTGGTGCAGCTCTTGTGCTTGTGCTACAAGCACAGTGGAACAGCATGAACATCTAGTATCTTACAGCTGGTGGATTCTTGTTTGCATCTTGTATCTGGTATCTTACAGATGCTGGCCTGCTAGAGCTACGCCTACTAGAGACTAAGATGGATTATTATTCATGCGAGTCATAATCGACCTCCGCTATCAGACAGCTTGCATTTTCAACCTCGTCAGGCTTGTCGTCGATGTCCTCAATGATTGAGTACAGCCCATTACGACGAACGGTGGCCGACGGCTTTTTCTTTTTGCCTCTATTACCTCGTTTTCTCTCTAACGTTTTTTCATCCTGAGATGAGCCAGAATACAAACCAGGAAATGCAACTTGCTGTTTCTGATCCTTTGAATCAACAGCGTAACCCTTTGCATCATAGTATGATCCAGGAGATCCTTGTTGCAGCTGCGCAGAAGAAGCCGAACTCGATGAACCCGATTGTGTTGCGGGCGCGTGCCCTTGAGTCGCGCGTAGGAGCAAGGCAGACGAGTGGCCTACCAACAAAGCAGATGTGATAGCGGTCAAAACCACCACCAGGCTGCTGCCCTGTCGTCGGCAGAACGACCACAAAGAAAACATCTTTTTTTCCTTTCTTTAGAGATGAAAATATTTCCTTACAACAAGAACAACAAGAACTTTTTTTAATAGTATAACTCGTGCTAGAGGTAGAGAAACAACCCAAAAAACTAGAAGATGATGAAGGGACACAGATGCTCCCCTTGTTCTCTGATTTGTGGTTATCAAACAATACTTGTCCTAAAATATATATTGCAATTAATACTTGTCCTAAAATATTACGTGCGAGAATGGTGCATACAATTGTTCGCACAGACGATTCACTTAAATGTTGACTTCCGCTGATAGGCTAGAAGTAAAAATAAAATATGCGACAATGAGTGAATGCTTATTCATAAAACCCAGGTAAAAAAAAAAAAGAAATTGAAATTCTGTAATGGTCCATGTATTCAATGATTTAGTACATTTACCCTATGTATAACAATGCAGTTCTGGGTCTCCCTAAGTGCAACACCTGAAGCTTAAAATTTCATCACTAACACCAAAAAGATCCTTGAGAAATTTGACTGAAAAACCGCTTCCTTTTAGGATGAGAAGTTTTTAGATTTACGAAAGTTCTCGTTCTGGATA